AAATGTCTGGCAAAGGGGATAAACTTTACCCACTGCAATTATTCTCTTGATTTCATTCAAGTAATGACGGAACTCTGAGCAAAGCCCACAAAATAAAGCTGGCAACCAAGAGGAGAAGCGAAAGCCACTCAGGGCACATAGGCAGAGGGAAGAGCAGGGTCCCCCTGCTGGGCTCCGACAGCACAGCAGCAGCCGCTAAAGCAGGAACAGAGCCCTCAGCACCTGAACACCCAGCCCCAGCGCAGATGCACACACCCACTGTGTCCTCCTTCCTAGTCAGGGGCACACGTGGTCCAGGGCTTATCTCTGAACATTTGGAAAGAGTTACCTTGATTTAATTTATTGAATAAATATGAAGCTGTCTGCTGACGTGTCAGGATGGAAGCCCAGCAGTGTCCCAGCTTGGGGAGGAAGGGTGGAAGCCCCGCAGTGTGCGCGGAAGTCCGGCATAGGAGGCGCCCTGCATGGAGAGTGCCGGCTGACTAGGGACAAGGGAGGAGCGTGGTGGGCAGAAGGGGGCTCTGTGCCCTCAACAGAAGGCACCCTGGGGAGCACATACTTACACGTGCTTACGTTCTTCCTGTCATTAGCTCTGAAGGGACTCGGGAAATTCAGAATGAGCAAAATTAAAAACAGGACAAGGGAGACAGGAGCTTGTGTGCCAAGAGCTCTCCCCCACCCCCAAGGCCTTGGGCCTTGGGCCCTGGGCCCTGGGGACTGGGCCAAGGGGGCTGCATGTCCTTGTTTTATCTACAATCAACTGCCCATCCCAGACAAAAATGAGAGACTCTGTGCTGCACTCAGGACTAATTTCATTTGCTGGAAGCCAACAGACTGAGTCACTAAGTACCTTAATTCATTTACTCATTTATTTTAAGCACCTATTCAAAGGGTAGGCATTTTGCTAAAGCCAAGTGCCTGGAACTGCTCCCAGGGTGGCTGGGCGGCAGGCGAGGGCGATGGGAACAAATAGCTACAAGAAGAGGGAACAGTAAAGTAGAACAGTACACAAGGGGGTCAGCCAGTGGCTTCTGAGCAGAGCCAGGGGTAGACCCAGAGTGGGCAGACAGGACAGCGTGCACATTCTCGTGGAGCACAACCCTGCAGGCCTGCTGGGTCAGGAGAAACACGTCCCAGCCTGGCCAGCACCGGGGGCCCAGGGAGGCCTGGCAGCAGACAGGTGATGAAGGGCCTGGCCTCTATTCCATAGGCAATGGGGCGCCACAGATGGAATTTAAGTAAAGAAGAGGCATGTCCTGATGTGTGTTTTGAAAAAACAGTTTGTTTTGGAAGGAGGCAGTGAGGAAAATAAATTCAGAATAGGGGAGACCCAAAGCCCATAGATTCCCCCCGTCATGTATAAACCACTCTTTCTGCTCTAAAAAGTCAATATTAATCGTTAGCCACTATGCAGCACTTCGTGTGTCCAAGTCATTTAATCTCTGATAGTCCTGGTAAAACAGGGACTAATGATTCCTATTGATTGAGTCATTGTGAAGGCGGACGAACTGATGAAACCATCGCCTAGGAAGGCACCTGGCAGGCACAGGGTCTGGCACATCGCGAACTCTCAGAAGTGGTTCCTTGCTATCCTGCACGAATCAGCTCCAACGCCTTCTTCCTCTGCGGTTTTGCATCAGCCTCTGTATTGTAAAAACCTACTCAAGGACTGTATCTTTACCACCAAAACCTTTTTTGGGTGGGTCTTAGAGTAATTCTGACTTTTTCAGTTTCAGTTAGGTCTGGGATCCTGAGGTTTCTGAAAGTCTGAACTCCAGGCAGCGAATGTTGTTTTTGGTAGTCTTTACCCAAGTGACCCTGTTCTTTTAAATGCCTGCAAAGTTTCATCTATTTTATTATATTGTAAGCAAAAATAGTGCATCTACATTCAAGTATAAACATTCAAAAATTTTCAGACATACCTTAAAACTGAGATCAAATTAAAAAAATCACAGTATAGTTAATGGGATGCTTACTGATAGAAATTATTACTGTGATCTTTGTTAATTAGAAAATGCTAATTTCTTTCCCACAAATGATAATAATGACCAGTCAGGGCTGGGAGTGTCTCAGAGACTGCTCTCAAGACTGGCCAGACAGTCCTATTAGATGTCTAGAGGGAAGGGGTCTGGACAAGGAAGGCGGAATCCCTGCGGACACATACTTCAGGAGAAGACAGTGCCACAGTGCTTTGCCTTCAAAGCTTAGCTACATGCAATCCTTAGTCTGAAGTCAACATTCAGTCCCTGTCAAGAAAAGAAGTGTCACCCAGTACTGAGGGACTGGAGAGGGCCGCCATTTTCTCTAGCCTCCTGTCCAAGGACACCTGCACCCTTCCTGCTGCTCTTCCAGCTCCTGGCTCTGAAACGGAGGAGCCAGCAGGCAGGTGAACACGCTCGGAGTGCCCTGTGGGCACTTGTTCCAGCACTTGGGCTTGCACTGTGTGGGCCTGGGTATTTCTTTGGCTTGGTGTCGAGCAGACACTCTTCTCTCCTAGCTACTCCTTTGTGGGTTTGACTCATACTCCTATTTAATGCTCATTGCCTTTCATTAAGTTTGGTTGCAGGCCCAGGTTTGCTATTCAACTTTATGCAGCCAGCAGAGGCAGACACCCGTGTCCACGAGAGACCGCTCTCTCAGCCACAAGGCAGCCAAACAGAGATATCCAATGGAATTCTGGGCTTCCCATCAAATGTTCAGAAAAGGACACTTTACCCTCTGAAAGGCACAAAGTAAACAGATTCTCACCCTGGGAAGCAAATGTACTTCATATTACTGAAACTGAATTTTCAAAGAGGACAAGAGAATCAGGGCTCTAACAACTTCAATGAGTGAATTTCAGGCAAAAGCACAGAGAACAAATGTGATGGAATAGCAAAGTCATCCTTGTGACATCAAATACCTATTAATCTACTTACATCCTGGGGCTGTTTGTCTCAGTCTTTCAGCAATTATCATCCTTGAACTGTGCTGTCCTATAGTCTGAAAGGTTTTCACCAATTACGAAGAATCCATAGACATGTCCTTATAAGTGTTTGTTTTTCATATCATCAGTTCAGAGACACATCATGTAACACTAAGAAAACACGCTTGCCCAGTGGAAAGAGATCACATGTCATCTTCCAAGGCATTTCACCACTCTGTATTTACATTTCTGGTTCTTTGTTAAGTATGATCTAATCAAAGTGTCCTTTAAACTTTGCTACACAAAGTACAATCCATAGACCAACAGCATGCACATCCCATGGGAGCTTGTTAGAAAATCAGACACTCCAGCCCTTCCCCAGACACACCCAGCTAGAATCTGCTCTGCCCCATGGGTCCCATTACAGTGAGAGGACCCGCCCCAAAAGGTCGTGTCCATCTCACAGATCTATAATCTACCAAAAAAAAAATAAAGCAAATACTTTGCATTTAAAAACTCAAATACAACAGGATATAAGTGGACACAAACAATTGCACTAACACACACCAGTATGCTTACTAAGTGCAGACCCACTGTAGGCACCGTATGTGCACTAGCACACGGCTCTTCACCGTAAGGCAGGAAGCAGGAGCTGTACCATCCTCCTTGGGTTGTAGATGACGTAACTTGGACAAGACCACACAGTAAGTCAGTGGGAGAGGCAGGACTTGAACCCAAGCAATCTGACTTCAGAGGGCATGTTTTTAACCATTACACTGTACCCACTCCCAGCAGGTGTACATGTATCAGAAAACAAAACAGTTCATTCAGGATCGGAAAGAAAAAGCCAGATTGCTTAAGGACCATTATTTTAGGTTCACTAACAGTGAGAGGCAGAAACCAGTTGAGCTGGACACCACAAAACTCTAATGGAAGTCCCTCAGCTTCCATCGGAGGAAGGTTAGGCTCAGAGGGGATGTGTGAAACACAACGGTTTTTCCGAAGGAGGGGAGAATCGGAGGCCAGGAAGGTCGTGGCCCCCACTATACTCCCCACCATGCTCCCTGCCTCTTTTACACCGCCTCATAATTCTTTGGGGGTTTTGCTCTTCCACAGACACCTCACACACATCAGGTAGCAAATGACAGCTTCTCCCTTTCTTAACTTTATTCAGAATCTGAGGCTATCCTACACAATGGCTAAGGGGGGAAGGTTGTGCTTAGAAATCACACTGGGATAGCTCTAATACTAAACACTGGCAATTTACATTCCAGGTATAACAGGAACCTACAGATGTGATAGCTGAGGCCTCCTCCTTTGAGGAAAATCAATCCTCCAGCTATTGAGGTTTAATTAAGGCAGAATTAAACCTCAGTCTGGGCTCCAAAGAGTCATTTACCTGCTTAGCTCTGCCGACCACATTTACAGATGAAAGGCGGGTGGCCTTCCAGGCCCAAATTAATGTGACTGTGGCATTTGTGCCATCTCAACTAAGACACCTGTTTTTAACCAAACGTGCTTTCTGTCAAAGGTTAACATGCCACAAGCATTCTCTCAAGCTCAGAATCTGTGCAGAATATCGGGCAGGGATTTACTGGAACAGACTTCAGAAGTCCAAAGAGGCCGAAAACTCTTCCTGTTTAAAGTACAGCATCTGTTGTAAAGGGTGAGAGACGACTTTCATTTGGAAGCTCGCCCCGTCTGGTGGGAGGCAAGATGAAATACACCCTGCCCTTAAAATGCCACCTGCACACCACCAGCTGTTTCCGGCCTGAGCCGGGAGTGGCCTTCCCATGACCTCCACTTCAGAGGTGAGGAAGGCGCTCTAGACACAATGAGCAAAAAGCACTGTGTCCCTTCTGGAGCATGCAGTGTAAACACAAACCATTTAATAATCACAATGCCAGAGTGAGACCGGGTGGCTCCCAAAGATCAAAAACACAGGATGGACCAAGCCGCCCTGTCTTGTCCCACTTCTCCCAGAGCTCATGCTCAGGGGCCTGTGGGCTGCGGGGGGGCTGCAGACCATGGTCTGGCAGTAAGAGCTCAAGCAGCCTGAGAGTCCACCCTGATACCGCCGTCCTGGGCCACTTACCTTGCACTGCCCAGACACGCAGATGGCCGTGCCATTCTGGTCGCAGGGGGTGCCGTCAATGACCTTCTCAGCTTGCCGCACGTAGAAGCGGTAGCCCATTGCCTGGCAGTTCAACTCACACTTCCGATTGCCCTTTACTACCAAAAAAAAAAAAAAAAAAAAGAAAATCAATCAACATCTTTTTTCCTCTATTTTTTATTGAGATAAGATTCATATAACATAAAATTAACCATTTTAACCAAAGTGTAAAATTCAGTGTTTTTTACTATACTCACAATGTTGTATAGCCATTACCAGTAATTCCAGAACACTGCCATTGCTCCAAAAAGAAATCCTGGACTTGTTTGCTGTCCCTTCCGATTCTCTCCACCCCTCCTCCCCGAGACACTGGCAACCACCAGTCTACTTGCTGTCTCAATGGATCTGCCTGTTCCGGACATTTATAACCACATACTTTTAAAAAGTGCATGGATGCTACCAGGTCTCTCCATCTTTGATAATGGAGGGAAGAGCCTGTAGCCTCATCTACAGCATGTAGCAGAGACTCAGTGCTGAATGAGTATCACAAAGGAATTCTTAAGCAATCTCACAGTGCCAATAATAGAATCTACTTGTAGACATACTCCCACACTTTGCTATAGTCATAATTATATTGTATGTATCAGCAATCATCGAGAGCACACCTTTGGCTGTTCTACTGTTGTTTAGTTTACGTAAAACCTCTGTAGTTATAGCATAGTAATGCTCTTTTGTGTGGCTGGAGATTCCTGTATAACTCCTCCATTATGAGATATTTCAGTGGTTTCTCAATCACCTTAGGATGAAGTCCAAACTCCTAAGCAAGAAATAAAATGTCTTTCAAATATAAATAGTCTTATTTCCTACTGTTCTTCCTTAGGCCTATGTTCTATCCCCAACGGAGCACTACCTCTGTCCAGCCATTGCTTAACTTTTCTTGCTGCCTTTGTCTTACCTGGTTAGCACCTGTTTCTACTTTGTTTTAGTTCCCAGGCCTTCTCCTCCGAGAAGCCCTTCATTGGATCCTAATCTCACCTAAACATCCCCCCGTCACAGGCTCTTCTGACCTTCTCTGCTTTAGGCTTAACCAAGCTTGATTGGAGCATGGTCTTGAAGGACCACAGGGATGTGTCAGTCTTAATCACTTTTGTATCCATAGCACTCAGTACAGAGTTGGGCACATAGAAAATGCTCAACAGATCCCTGAGCAATAAAAGGAGGGATGGATAAATGAGTACTGGCTTTTTTATTGCCTTTCTCTCCCTTCCCACCATGAGATGTAGTCACCTACCCAAGTCTTTCTCTATATTTCTATCACTTTATATGGAGCTTGGCACACAGTAGGTGCTCAATAAAAGCTAAATTAATTACCACTGCAACTAATACCTCCAAAGCAATTTAGTTGCCTTCAAAATAAGAATGAGAAAAATTATGAGGTAAAATGTATTTTCATATCCAAAAGAGACAGACAAGCCAGTACACACTGATTTTTTAAAAACCTCTTGGCAACAAGACTAATGCTATGCTCAGCTGTAGACAGGACATTCCAGGGTCGTGCCTTTGTCTGAAAATCTGATTACTGGATTGGATAATACTGCCTTTTTTCTTCACAAGAAGATACATCATATTTTCCCCAGTGTGGCTGCCTGACTGTCGTAGCAATGAACTTTCTTTCCCTCTGAAGCCATTGAAAACTGCTCCCAGGAAACAACATACATGGAGCCTCTGGGACCATGTGGTTCAGGGAAGACTGAACCTTCTGTCTATGTCTCCTATGTACCCTAAGGTCTATCTTAGAAGTCAAGAGGATTCTTGACTTGGTTTCTTACCCTGACTGCCCAAAAGATGTAAGAGGTCATCTTGCAAAAACAACAACAAAAAGTATCAAACACCTTTGAGAATTATCTAAAACTAAAGCATCATTTTATAGATTAAAAACAAAATAATTGAAAATATAACAGACCTAAAAAATGAAGCGCCAGGTTACAAGTAAAACAAATCTTCTACGACTTGATTTCTCACATCATCTATGCATCCAGACTGCTCCCCCTCTTCCCAGCTCCTTGCTTTCTAAGGCAATAAAAGGAAGTACCTGGGTGCATTGCATTTTAAATAATAAAACTGTCTGAAAGGCAGCCTCAGCTGAGACAAGGGTTTTGGGTTTTCACTTCTTTCTTGGATTCCTTCCAACCACCTCTATCTTTTGCAGCCACAATTCTATTTCTCAATATTTGCGACCATACCACAGAAGAACATTCTGAGAACAAGAGCAACAACAAAATGGTTAAATGTGAGATAATTATGGCAGAATCTCCAAATGGCTACATGAAAATAACCAGAGGAATGGTAGTGAGTTTGGGCTCCCACCTGTGGTACAAACCAGACACTTGGTCTGACCCTCTGCCTGTGTGACTTAGTTGGTCAGTGTCCTGCCTTCTCAGACTTGCAACAAGGGGAAGGGACGGCCCCAGGAGATAACTGAACTTGCGGACAAGTGCCTCCCTAGTCAACCTGCCAAGATCCTGCTGCCTTAGCAATACTGGACCAGTGCTTGTCATAACTTGACACAAGGACTGACTTCTCCACCCTGCATACACTCCCCACCCACTTTAAAATTTCATTTAAAGATATGATTGCAGGGCTTAAGTTTAAGGTTTTTTGTGGAGTGCTACTTCAGTCCTTTTTTCCTTGAATACAATTACAATTCTGATGCCACGAACTGCTTCCCCAAGCAGATTTTGCCATGGAGAAAACAGAAGAATGCCTGTGAGTTGGATGCCACAGGATAAGCACAAGTAGGCAGATCCTTTCCTCCCTGTTTATCTGCCCTCTTCTTCCTCTCCCTCTGTGTTCTCATCTGCTTCCAAATGTCCTCCCCACACCAAAGGAAACACTAACTTTCACACATTCAGGTAGTGATTCCCAGTGGGGTCCCAGGACCAGAAACATAAGCATCACCTGGGAGCTTGTTGAAAATGCAAATCCTTAGGCCTCACCTCCAACTTCTAAATCAGAAACTCCGGGAATGATGCTGGGTCACTTGTATTTTTAACAAGCCCTCCATGTGATTCTGGTGCATAGTCAAGCTTTGAAACCACTGGTCCAAGGAAAATCAAGTAGTGAAAAGATTTGGAAACAGCTGGCCATTCTTACTTTGAATCAGTGATGTTCAAATTCCACGTTTAAATTTAAAAGATAATATAAGCACCATCTTTAATTAAATTTAAGGTATTTACATGTATCTGGATCCCTCACAAAGACCCCTGATCATTTAAAAAAGTGCTGGAGAATACACAAGAAAATTCAGGTACTTTGAATACAGTAGCTAACAACTGAAGGGTTTACCCTCAGATACAGGTTAAACATGTAAACCACTCATTGAGCTCCGTTCCCTTTGCAAACCCTCTGAGTAAAGGCACTTTTTTTAGTAATAAAAAAGAAGTTGACAGTTACAAAAATTTGGAAGGCGGAAAGCAGAAAGACCCATGGTAACAACTTCGCAGACCCAGCCAAACGAACCCTAGGCAGGAACCGCCTCACCGAAGCTGCTGCATCGCAGCGTTTCTAAACACTAATTCTGGCCATAAAGGAGACGCAGACCTGAAGACAGAGAAGCCATCCGGGCATTTAAGAGGCACTTAAGAGGTTCCACATTCCAGAATGGTTGACTAAAGTCTCTGAAGACTGACTTCTTCACAAAAACAATGAGAACACTGGCAAAAATAAGTAAACAAATAAAAATAAAAACAGATGAAGAGGCTATTAATAATGGACAAAATAAACTTTAAGACAAAAATTGTTATTAAAGACAAATAACATTTTATAATGATAAAGGGTCAATTCATTAGGAAGCCAACAATAGAGGCCCAAAATACATGAAGCTAAACCTGACAAAAGTAAAAGGAAAAGTAGACAATTCAATAATAATGAATAGAGCTAGACAGAAGATCAACAAGGAAATAGAAGACTTGAATAGACAATGCAGTCCAGGGGTATTCAACCTGTGGCCCATAGGCCACATGCGGCCCAGGATGGCTACGAATGCAGTCCAATACAAAATTGTAAATTTACTTAAAACATGTTTTTTTGCTCATTAGTTTTCATCAGTGTTTGTGTATTTAATATGTGGCCCAAGACAACTCTTCTTCTTCCAGTGTGGCCCAGACACGCTGAAAGGCTGGACATCCCTGACCGACAATTCAATTATGGATAGAGCTAGAGAGAAATCAGCAAGGAAACAGAAGACTTGAATAACACTGTAAACAACTACACCTAACAGATACAGGCAGAACATGCCACTCAACAATAGCACAGTTCACACTGTTCTCAAGTGCACATGAAACACCTTCTAAAAAGGAACGAATGTTACATGATGAAACAAGCCACAGTAAATTTGAAAAGACCAGACTTACATGAAAGATGCTCACTGAGCACAGTGGAATGAAATTAGGAATCAATAACAAAGCAAAATTTAGGAATTTCAAAAATATGTGGAAATTAAACAACACACATCTAAATAACTGATCAAGAAAAAAAACGCAGGGAAAATTAGAAAATACTTTGAGATTAAGAAAAATGAAACACAACATACCAACTTATGGGATGCAGTTACAGCAGTACTTAGAGGGATATTCATAGCTGTAAATATCTATGCCAAAAAAGATCTCAAATCAATAACCTAATATGCCACCTTAAGAACTGAGAAAAAGTGTCGCAGGTTCAATTCCCAGTCAGGCCACATGCCTGGGTTGCAGGCCATGGCCCCCAGCAACCGCACATTGATGTTTCTCTCTCTCTCTCTCTTTCTCCCTCCCTTCCCTCTCTAAAAATAAAAATAAAATCTTAAAAAAAAGAACTGAGAAAAAAAGAGCAAACTAAACCCAAATCCAATGGAAGAAGAAAACTAGGGTGTAAATACATTAAGTAGAGAAGGTACAGACAATAGAGAAAATAAAATCAAAAGTTGGTTATCTAAAAAGATCAATAAAATTGACAAACTTTTATGTAATGGACAAAAACAAAAAAGACTTAAAAATACTAAAATCAGGAATAAAGTGGAGACATTACTACTGATTTTATAGAAATAAAAAGGACTTCTAGCCAGGGTGATTAGTCAAAG